TGTATTTAGTATTTATACAGTAGTCAACATTTGAAGTGGATCAAAACCTTTCATCAAAGTTGTCCTAAAAAACCTAAAACCAAAATTTCTTCTTTTTAGATCCACTTCAAATGTTGACTACTGTGTGTGTGTGTGTGTGTGTATATATATATATATACACACACACACACATTACATTACAATTTCCATTTTTTCCAGGTCTAAAAATCTAATTTTTAACCTCATATACCACAAATCATAACCACAAATACCTCATATAGCTAGGATTTTCAAGACTGGAAATCCTGTTTTGTTTTTTTTTGTTTTTTTAAGAAATATTTAGCTTTTTTCCTTGTTTTAATCATTGTTTTGTTTTACTTTAAATATTTTGAATCATTTATTTTAATGTAACTTGTTTTCTTGATCTTACTTTTATCTACATATTCTCTTTTTTTTTTTTTTTACAGTTTTTCTCTATTTTTTAATCAATATTTTCTTGAATTAAAAAAATATAGATTTTTCTTTTTTGGTTTCGTTTTGATTTATTCCTTGTTTTGTCTTGAAATCATTTTAAATCATATCTTATTTAATTCATTTTTATTTCTTTATCTTAATCTTATTTTTATTATCTATTTATTTTTTACACATTTTCTCTAATTATTTCTAATCAATATTTTCTTGAATTAAAAAAAGAAATATGAATTTTAGTTGTCTTGATTTTTTATTCTTTTTGTCTTACTTTAAACCATTTAAATGTCTTATTTATTTTAATGTAATTTTTTATTTATCTTACTCTTATTTTTTTTACACAGCTTTTTCTATTTTTCTAGTATTTTTTTCTTGTCAAAATAAAACACATCTTGATATCTTTGTTTATTTTAATGTTTTTTTTTATTTATTTTAATCAAACATTTTTATGAAAAATTTTATTTATTTATTTTTTTTACATTTTTCCTCTTATTTTCTTGAATTAAAATAAAATATTTTTAGTTTATTTTTTGGCTCATTTTAATACTTTAAATCATTTTAAATCATCTTGCTTTGAGGAAAACTAACAAAAATGCATCTCTACCCTCATTTCTCAGGTGACCGTCTTGCAGTCGTTATGGGACCCGTCAAGGATATTATGTGTGGGAAACACACACCTGTACTGGCACCCTAAAGGTGAGAATCAGTGTGAATATAATGATGTTTGCATTACAGTTTCTGACAGTCTGCTGTGTGTTCAGGGGGAAACGTTCGACTGGTTCAGATTGCAGTGGCCCTCAAACACATGAAGCAGATAGTGACGGAGAAGCATCCCGGAGCCGGACTCATATTCTCGGGTGATTTCAACAGCACGCCCTCCTCCGGTCTCTTTCAGCTCGTCTGTGAGGGATCCGTCTCGGAGAATCATGATGACTGGGCCTCTAATGGACCAGAAGAGCAGATCCAGGTGGGACTGATGAACCCGTTCCAGCTGGCTAGTGCTTGTGGGGTCCCAGCTTTCACCAACTACGTCGGAGGCTTCCAGGGCTGTCTGGACTATATTTTTGTGGAGCCGCATGTGCTGCAGGTGGAGCAGGTGATTCCTCTGCCCAGCCTTCAGGAGGTCACGACCTGCGTGGCCCTGCCGAGCGTCTCGCACCCATCAGATCACATCGCGCTGGTGTGTGACCTCAAGTGGAAGTGAAACAATCACAAACAGTTCGTATTTCATCAAAAGCAATTTTAGCTTTTTAATGATCAGATTTGAGCATTGTGCTTATATTTATCACATAGCTTCATTCTCATTTGTACAAATTAAAATGTATGAGGATGAGTTATTGTGTGATATTTATCAAATGCCAGAATTGACACCTACTTGGAAATATTGAATGATGTATTTACAATATGCAACTGTTTAAATTCTTTGCATTTAAATTCATTCAGCATTTTGTGATGTTGCTTTAACTCTGCTTTTCAAACCAGAAGAGTGAATGGAAATAACCGGTTTCCCCTTTAAGGAATAGTTCATCCAAGATGTAGATGAGTTTGTTTCTTCATTAAGATTTGGAGAAATGTAGCTCGTATTCCATCACTTGCTCACCAACAGATCCTCTGCAGTGAATGGGTGCCGTCAGAATGAGAGACCAAACAGCTGATAAAAACATCACAAGTAATCCACACCACTCCAGTCCATCAGTTAACATCTGGAGAAGTGAAAAGCTGCATGCTTGAAACAAATCCATCATTAATGCATGTGAAATTTAAACTGTTGCTTCCAGCTAAAATGAGTCCATAATCCATTATAACACATCCTCCAGTGAAAAAGTCCATCTCTTGTTGTCTCACATCAAAATCCATCAACATACTTGTTCAAAACTGTTTTTGCTTGTAAATGGTGCTTGGTTTGTGCAGATTTCTCTCCTGATTCAGACAAGACAACTTTTTCACTGGAAGAAGCGTTATGGATTATGGACTAATTTTACGGTTTAAATTTCAAATGCATTAATGATGGATTTGTTTAAATCATGCAGCTTCACAAGACATTTATTGATGGACTGGAGTGGTGTGGATTATTGTGATGTTTTATCAGCTGTTTGGACTCTCATTCTGACGGCACCCATTCACTGCAGAGCATCCATTGCTGAGACAGTGATGCAATGCTACATTTCTCCAAATCTGATGAAGAAACAAACTCATCTACATTCTGGATGGCCTGAGGGTGAGGACATTTTCATTTTTGGGTGAAATATTTCTTTAACATGAATACCATCAGTCTTCAGCAATGTGCAACCTGTATGTATAACTCTTAAAATCTCAAAAAATGATTCATGACCCTTTAAAGCATTAAATAATGAGTGAATTTCTTTCGTGAGCCTTAGTTAATACACACCCATACAAGTGATGCATTTCAGACTTTTATTTGCTTCACTCTTTATTCATAATGTTTTAATACATTTTTTAAAAAGGGAACAGCTAGACGATTCCTTGCACCAGTCCATTTGAATATTTTCAAAAGCTGGGGAAAAAAACAGTTGATTATGTCTTAACATTTGCACTGATTTGTTCTCAACTGAAATGCTAAATCAAAAGCGTATCGGGCGAGTGCATTCACATAGTAAAGCACAGCACGTTTAAGGCAACTGTGATTACGTACATAAAAAGGCTGCTTATTTACAACATAAACATCTGACTAGTTCCCAATATAAACTCATGCATTTTAGAAGCATTAAAACTAATGCTTATATCAATGCATTGCCAGTCTCTAAGTGTGCTACTATAAGAATAATCTTTTATTTATTAAATGCATGCTTCTCTGAGAACATTTCCTTGGATGTATGGCATGCAAACGCCTGGGAATGAGCCGTTCGGAATGAAAATAATGGAATAAATCAAGTTGAGGGAGTAAAAATAGAGCATTTTTATAAATACACAAAAGTTATCATTATTAACACAATGCTTGATGTTTATGCTTACTGTAACAAGAACCCAGAAGTACTGCAAGAGCTTCTTAACAAATCTAGGATCTACAGAAGACTATAAGGCTACACACATCAAGTGGAATGAATCTGGGAGAAATGTCGGTCGAGGTCAAAGGTGCAATGAACTAAAAAAGGAACAAAATGTTAAAATGCACTGCTGTAGATTGACAATAGCAGCAGGCAGATTTTTGGTAGCGATCAACTGAAAATGATACATGAACAGCTTCTGTGCCGCATCAACTCCGCTAATCATGTCCTTTGGAACAGCACACATCCTGCTTGGACGGGAAGTGCAGTTTAGCGTTTGGAGAGCTGCTCGGAAAGCCAGTCTAATCCCTCATATAAACCCGTCCCTTGAGTCGCACAGGTCGCCTGGACATACCACTGATGAAAAGCACAATATAAACATTTTTACCAATAGACGGATACAGTATGCATTTAATTGAATGAAAAAAAAATCTATTTTTTTTAATGTTTTGAAAGAAGTCGCTATAGAAATATTGTTTAATATTACAACTTAAAATAACTTTTTACTATGTGAATATATAGTAAAATGTAATTTATTCCTGTGATCAAAGCTGAATTTTCAGCATCATTACTCCAGTCTTCAGTGTCACATGATCTTCAGAAATCACTCTAATATGCTGATTTGCTGCTCAAGAAACATTTGTTGTTATTATAAATGTTAAAAGTAATCCATTTATGTGGAAACTGTGAAATGCTACTAACTATTCACAAGAAAATAAATTAATTCAGCAAGGACACATTAAATTGTTCAGAAGTGGAAGTAAAAACATTTATAATGTTACAAAAGATTTGTTTCAAATAAATGCCGTTACTTTGAACTTTCTATTCATCAAAAAAATTTGTGTTTCCCCAAAAAAACAAATATTAATAACACCCATTATTATTAATTGAACACCAATAATAACTAATAATTGAGCAGTAAATCAGCATATTATTATGATTTCTGAAGGTTCATGTGACACTGAAGACTGGAGTAATTATGCTGAAAATTCAGCTGCGCATCACAGAAATAAATTACTTTTTACCATATATTCACATAGAAAACAGCTATTTTAATTTGTAATAATATTTCACAATATTGCTGTTTTTACTATATTTTTGATCAAATAAATGAAGCCTTGATGAGCATAATGTTCCAAAACATTTTTAAAAATTGTATTTATTCCAAATGTTTGACCAGTAGTGCACATACTGACCAAAATATGATTAATTACAGGTTTATGTACACATCTAGAGCCATGTATACATTTTAATAACCAAAAACCAATATTACTATGTTTTTTAAATGGAGCTTATCATTATGCATAACTATCATAATATTGCATATAATTGCATAACTCACAGTTCTGCTCCTGAGTGCTTGCAGGCCGAGTTTGTCTGTCATCTCGCTGATGGCCATGGCGTTTGGTAGATCTTGTTTATTTGCAAAAACCAGTAGAACGGCGTCTCTCAGTTCATCCTCCTGAAGCTGTTGCAGACAGAATATGAGCAGATATTTACGGCGGTTTGAAACAGAACTACTTCACATAGACAACTGTGCACAATAAAAGAAGCGTGTTGCAGGTACACAGATAAAACCAGAGCTGTTTTTAATCTCGTTTCCTCACCATCTTCTGAAGCTCTTCTGCTGCTTCCTGTGCTCGCTCACGATCGTTACTGTCCACGACAAAGATCAGACCCTGAAGAAACAACACAAGTGAAAATGACTTTCAGTCAAAAAATATTAAGCACAAGTTCTATTCTTAAAGATCTCCATGACTTCTGCAGGTTTTTTGGAAGGTACATTTAAATTAAAGCTGCAAGCAGCGATGAACGGGCCCTCGCACCCGGGCTCACCGCCACCCGGTGGCTTTAGGAAAACAGCAAACAGTGGGCAATATGCAATAAGTAGTAAATATAGGAGGAATATGTCAAAGTCATTTATATGTGCCAAACTTCCTGCTGCCAGCTGGTGGCGCTATGATTATAACTGGATGTTGGCATGTAGATGTCTTCAGGCCAGCACTTTTATTAAACATGTGAAGTCTGATGCAGATTGAATATGGTATGTTTGAGTTAGTGTAAAGCATGGCATATCTTGTTGCCAACAGGTGGCGCTATAATTATTACTGAACATTGACATGTTGATGTCTTCAGGCCAGTATTCTTACTAAACATGTGATGTTTGGTGCAGATTGGACATTGCATGTTTAAGTTAGTGTAAACAAAGTCATTTCCTGTTGCCAGCAGGTGGCGCTATGATTATTATTGAATATTGGCCTTAAGATGTGTTCTGGCCAGGACTCTTATCAAACGTGAAGTTTGGGGCAGATCGGACATTGCATGTTTAAGTTAGTGTAAAACAAGTAATTTCCTGTTGCCAGTAGGTGGCGCTATGATTATAACTGAATATTGGC